GTTGGTTGATTTGAAGTGTCGCGTCACTCTGCAGCTTGAAAAAAATGAGAAGGAAATTGTCACTCCAAAAATGGCTGCAGTGATCGGAATGGTCTGGTCTGACTTGGTCTTGGTCTGGTCTAGACCGCCAAGACTTGGTCTGGTCTGGCGATTTTTTGAGACCGTGGTCGGACCGGTCTAGATGATCGGACCGGTCCGGCTATAAATAGGTCCACGTGACTAGATCTTAGACTAATCTAGCCAGAAAATTTAGCACAATATGAGTCATTAAGATCAAGGTAAGTCTTCTACTTACATAGAACAATCAAGTCTTTAACAACCTACTTATATACTATTGTTATGGAGCCTTCAACACCAACCTCACCGTCCCCATCGAATATTATAAGACTAGATTTAACGTCTCTTACTCCATCTCCTATCCCCACGTCATCACCCACCCCTATACTATCACCCACTCCTATTCAATATCACGAATCTCCAGATGAGTTCGTGCAGGGCGGTATCACGTACGTGAAACGTGCAATAATTGCAAGGAAGGATTTCCGTCAAGGTACATCACACATCTGGAAGTACGGACTCCAATACATTCGAGATAGCGATAAGAAAGAGGTGTATTACTGCCATGAGTGCAGGGTTGGGAAGAGCAAGCAAGAGTTGTTTGTCATCAATGGCACTTCTAGGATCCGGAATCACCTGGAACAGAAGCACCAGATTGATCCCCAGAGTGGCATCAAGCGAAAGGGTTCTGTACGGAAGTCTATAATCGACCAGCAAAAGGATGGGGCTGCTTCCAGCATCTTTTTCTGGAAGGAGTCAGTAGAGAAGTTTAAAGAGCTTCTAATTCGTTGGATTGTGTACTGCCATATCGCCTTCTTTCAATTAGAGAACCAGTACTTTCGTGAACTACTCCTCTTTTTAAATCCGGCACTACTCAACCACCTCCCGAAGGCTGCGAAGACTATCCGAAGCTGGGTAATGAATGCATTCATATCGAAGAAGCAACAGCTTAGGGAGGACCTACACCATTCACGGAGTAGGATCTCTATCTCCTTTGATCTCTGGACTTCACCAAACCCTTACGCTATCCTAGGCGTCGTCGCTATGTGGATTGATACTACCGGCATGTGACGTGTTACCGCTTTAGGTATGCGACGTATATACGGCGAACATACTGGAGAGAATCTTGGATCGGTGGTCCTTGAATTGCTGGAAGAATACGACATTAGCGGAGATCAGATTGGATACTTTATGCTGGATAATGCCTCGGCAAATGATACCGCTGTTGAGTTTATACTCAAGGATCTCTGCCCATGGATGAAGTCAAAACAACGTCGTCATCGCCGGCTGCGTTGCTTGGGCCATGTCATCAACCTCTGTTGCCAGGCGTTCCTTATGGGGCGAAACTGTGAGAAGTATCTTGCGAAGCTGGAGAAGCATCATCAACGTGGCGACTATACGAAGGTGGAAGAGCTCTGGAAGAAGTTCGGATGTTTGGGTCGTCTTCACAACCTGGTGCGATACATCAGGCTTACTCCACAACGGCGTGAGGAGTTTGCTACAATTATTATCGGCGGAGATCTTTCGCAATTCGACGGGCTTGAGCTTATCCAGAACAACTCGACCCGCTGGAACTCATGGTTTTATTCGATTACACGTGCATTAAATGTTCGAGAACGTTTAGAGCTCTTCTCGGCTCGTCATGTACCTGGAAAGGGCTCCGTAGGGATCGCGAACTTTAAGCTTGATGGACAGCACTGGTTTGAGCTTGAAAAGATTGAACTCGCTCTCAAAGACTTCTATGCTGCAACTTTGCTTTCTGAAGGTAAGAAGACGTCACTTGCGGACTGGTTTTCAACTTTGGACTGCCTTCTCCGGGAGATAAGCGAGACGAAGGATCACTACCACGACATCCACACTGAGGACGATAACAACTTTACATGGAAGTACCTTCAAGGCTGCGCTGATGCTGCTTGGTTAAAGTGCGTTGAGTACTATAACAATCAGCAGCTGAATTGGCAAAATCGATTCCCTGAAGATACTGACCTTCCACCGGCATATTATGCGGCTCAAATCCTTGATCCATATCGCAAGTGGGGATGGTTCAGGCAAGAGTGGGTTCTTCATGGCGACGAAGAGAAGAAGAGGTGGTTTGAAAACGCACAATTAGCGGTGAAGCATCTCTGGGAGACAGAGTATAAGGGAAGGTACCCTGTCGAGATGCTGCCACCACCAGCCAGGAAGGAGAGAGATCCTGACCCAGCATTTGATCGCCAGCGGGAACATAAGCGCATTCGAATAGACGCTCCAGTTTCTACAACTGATTTGTATGAACAATACATCTCTACTGACCGGCTTCATAACGAAGAGGCAGGTTGCAATGAGGCTATTGCGTACTGGCTATCTCGCTACGACTCCCAACGAGATCTCGCTCGCTTCGCTCTAGACATGTTTGCGATCTCGCCTATGTCGGATGAATGCGAACGTCTTTTTAGTAGCGCGAAGCTTACTATCGTCGATCGCCGTGGTAGGCTGAAGGCAGATATTATAGAAGCGTGCGAGTGTCTCCGGGCCTGGTATGGAAAGCCCCAAGCTGAGGGGAACAGCGATATCGAGGATAGTGAGAACGAAGACGACTAGATTGACAGTCAGTAGTAAAACACATTTCCTCGGCTTCCTTCTTTGCTTCAGCCTCATTCTTGGCGGTCTTGTTGGTCGGACCGGTCTGGTCGGACCGGTCCTTATGTAAGCACCTGGTCTGGTCTGGTCTGTACCCTCAGACCAGACCAGACCAGACCATTCCGATCACTGGTGCAGGGACGGCTCCAAGAATAGACTAAACGCACTATCAGACAGCTGCTTCGGGTATTTCCAGACGATGACCATAGTAACAGAAGCAAGTGGAGACGACTGCTTCCGCATGCCCAGTATGTTCTGTCGCATAGTCTAGCAGATGATGACGACGGCGAAAGACTGCGCCTTGCATCGAAATTTGCTAGGACTCTTTTGAGTGACGGACGATATAAGGAGGCTGAAGGGCTGTTTGTAGAAGTGATGGAGACAAGCAAGAGAGTGCTTACTGACGAGCATCCTTCCACGCTGACCAGCATGGTCAACCTAGCGTCGACATACAGGAACCAAGGCCGATGGGACGACGCTGAGAAGCTAGAAGTGCAAGTGATGGAGACTAGCAAGACGAAGCTGGGAGAGGACCATCCTTCCACGCTGACCAGCATGGCCAACCTAGCGTCGACATACAGGAACCAAGGCCGATGGGACGACGCTGAGACGCTAGAGGTGCAAGTGATGGAGACTCGCAAGACGAAGCTGGGAGAGGACCATCCTTCCACGCTGACCAGCATGCACAATCTCGCTTTCACGCTACATTCACAAGCTCGTTACGTGGAGGCTCTTGTAGTAATGGAAAGATGCTTTCAGCTATATTTGCGGGTTCTTGGCGAGCAACACTCTAATACACAGTCATCACTCATCACGATAAGTAATTGGCGAGCGGACCGTAACTAAATTTCTAATAAGAAGACTTTATAACGCTGCCACTATTCGTAGATCGTAATGTTAGATGCTACAGATCGTTTAAGCATGACTTTGGACGGTTGTCTATAGCGCAGCGGTAGCTTCTGTTGATTTTAACAGCTTTGATCTACCCTGCACAGCGTATTAACGCAGCAGTAATATTGTCCTAGGTGAGAAGCGAACCTGGAGGATGGCTGTCTGCAAAGTTGGGAATAAGAGCTGCCTGGGGCGGAGTGCTTAGAGCTGCAGTGCTTCGCCACAGCGCGCGGGGCAGACATATGGATATCTCAGCACGCTACTGCAAGCTGCCGCGTACTAAGGGCTGCTAAAGACGCACGGCCGGCTAGACGCATTTCGACAATCTTGCTGTTTGTACGGAGAAACTACCGGGATGCGCATTCTCTACATTAAATCGACTTTTCGAATCTACAGTCTTAATCCTTGTTATCCTAGCTTTCTTTGTAGCTCACTGAGCTTACTGTAGATACGTATCGTCCCGAATAAACAGGGGGCTGTTAGAGGAGAGTTTGTTAACAGCATTAACAGAACGGGCACCAGCATAGCCAACAACGTGCTTTTCGTTGTCGGAGATTAATGTACTGGGAGAACGAGAGCCGTAGTATAGATGCGCGTTGCATTTGTTTGCATTCGAGAACCATAGAGACAATCCGAGAGTCCGGAGGAGCAAGCGTCCCGTTACACCGTGCGTCCCGGCACGCGTGGATTGAGGTTAGTCATCAATGTATCTTATTATCATATAACAAAGTGAGGACTAAGGTACGTCCCTAGGTGAGGAGACACACTGTGTCGCGAGACAAGTCTGCATATCGGACCTTTGGCGCCGCCAATTGGCAGGTTTGTAAACCTACCGTTGATTTACTATGATTATACAGCCATTGCTTCTCGATAAGACTAATATCCGACATAAATCACCATTATGTTGGCCGTACTGTCGATCGTTTCGTCAACGTCGTTAATCAACTCTTTAATGATACCCCCTGTCTATTAGCGACTTTAAGGAGTAATTAAGCGCTCGGAGGGTTGTCAAGAGAGCGCAACTAAGGATAATCGATTCCCTAGGCTCGAGAGATCACTCCGACGTGGGAGCGAGCATGCCGGGAGCCCCGTTGTGCGAAGTAGAAGATCGTCCAAAACAAGCCCGAGCTGGCGGGATACGCTAACGCGGCTTGGCCTGCATTGGCCTACATTAGCGCCCTTACCGCCTGCTGTATCCTATCGTAAAGAATACGGCGCTATGCCGGTTCCATAAGCCTCTCAAAATAGGCGTGGCGCATGCTGATGGCTTTCTAGAAGCATCTACGACCGCGCGTACGCAGAGCCGTTGTACGCAGGGGTGCTCTGTTCCCCGCTTGGATTTTGCGCGGACGTTCCTCGTCCTTCGTTTCCTATTGCTAACAAGTCCGCCACGATGGACAAGGCCAGTCGTGTTCTGGCGCAACCCGTTCCCCCTAGCCTGTCCGAATCATATCGTGCTCGCGCAGATCGTAGTGGGATCCCTCACACAACCCTGCATCATCGTGCGCGCGGCCGTCGCTCAATCGAAGAAAAGGTCTAGAGCTAGCAGTACCTCGCTCCGTATGAGGAGGACGCCCTCGTACATTTTCTCCTACAAATGTCTGATCTAGGCCAGCCTGTGCGCATTAAATACATACGTTTTCTAGCCCTCTGCGTCACCCGCCAGCGACCCGAGACTGACCGCCCGCTAAAGCCGCCCGGAAAGAACTGGACTTAGGGTTTTGAGAAACGCTATCTAGAGACACAAGCGAGAAGGGTTAAGGCGCTAGACTAGAGCCGTCACGAGAAGAACACTTATTAGAAGATAACACACTAGTTTGGAGTGATTGTGTTACGAACCTGTGGGAAGGGGCACGGCGGTTAAGTTAAGGAGCGTCGGCGGGATAGCTGACCCCTCCATATGTGACACGGGAACTTAATCACGTGACCTCCTCGGCTTGGCATGCACGAGGAAAGGTCTTGGCACACTCCTCGTACATACGCCACCGAGGAGTACTCCTCGCGCGTCAGCCACCGAGGAATCCTCGGACTCCTCTGAGCGAGGACAGCGAGCACCATAGGTATTGTGAAGGTCGTCCGAAGATGATCTTGGGTTGGTTCTCGGGGATAGAGTGATGCGATGGACACGAGGGTGTATAGCACGATTGGTAGATCGATGTAATATACGGGGGAGTTGAGAATCAAGTACTAATCCTTAGATTTCGAAGTTGAACACAATGAACCGTAAGGGCTCATTGCCTATTGTTTATATACTAACGAATGTCCTATGTCCTATACGTCCTACGTTGTCCTACACTGTCCCATGCGTGGGACATCGTGGTACATCGTGGGATTCCTTGGGACACACGTGACATGTCCCATGTTGGCGTTCCGCCAAGCTTTGTGTGATGCGGGGCAGGCTTACGTCATTGGTCCTTGTACACCTTTGTACGCCTTTGTCTGAGAAGGGATTCCGACAAGGTCTCCATCCTTCTGCCCTTCATATCTTGCACTGTGTCCTCTCCTTAGGTTCGTAACAGGTATATAGCATTAGGCAATGAGCTTCTATAGCTCATTGTGTTCAACTTCGAAATCTAAGGATTAGTACTTGATTCTCAACTCCCCGTATATTACATCGATCTACCAATCGTGCTATACACCCTCGTGTCCATCGCATCACTCTATCCCCGAGAACCAACCCAAGATCATCTTCGGACGACCTTCACAGATTGGGAGGTTACTAAAAGACCTGGCTGTCTCTAAGGAGAACGTATACAATTGTCAGATATTCACTCTCATCTGGAATACTGATGAAATAGGTAATAATGGTGATGATGTTGATAATTGATTGTGTGTTGGTTCTGTCTACGGTTGTGGGCAGGGGGGATGGCGCAGTGGTAGTGCGCCTGGTTGCTTCTGCTAGCTTGCTCGCAGAGGTTGAAGGTTCGAATCCTTCTCCCCTCACCGCTATAATAATTCTATTATTCTAGCTTTACCAAAAAACATCGAACGGCTCCTTTCGAAACCTGGAAAGTTTTTCACCAATACCCCGCACGCTTAACGCTAGCCGCCGCCGTACAACCGAGCCACAAAGTACCGCCGAGACGAAAATATGCCGCAACTGCCGCTATATACAACAAACGTTCAAGGTCCCATGACTTTTTCCCCTACGAGGTTTTTTTCAGTCTTAGGAGCACGGGGTTATTATAGCAAAGGGATTGGTCACAAAGGTGGAGATAAACGGGTGTCTATTACAAGGTCTCTCTCTCTTTCCTGTATAGAAGCAAAAAACCCAAACCCCCATAGTCAAACTCGACCAAAGAAACGAAATCCTACGGGTATAGAGGGAAAAAACTAGTCAAACGGCCCTAGGCCACCGTCCTACATAGTCTCTGACTGAAAAAGGACGTTAATGGATACTACTACTACTACTACTACTACGGTTGTGGGCACACCTGGGGGGGTGCCAAGCCTTCCTGTGATCCGATTGGCTCTCACAGATGCCAGGTCGCGCTAGTCTAACCCAGCGTCTGTACGCTCTCATCTTCAACAGTGCTATTATCTGACAACAATATACACGAGACTGGTGTTATGCTTTCTATGCTAGGTATAGTTAAAGTGTTAGTAAGTAAGGATAATATGCGAGACTATAGAGGTGCGCGTGTTAAACGCACAATAGTCACCGCAGTTGATGTGAGGGATCGATCAAGAAAGATTGGATTTGACAAGATACAAGCTATCGAGCTATCTACGTTGTGAGCCCGAACTTATGCTGTGGGCGCCAAGGCGCTAGTCCGATAAGATAAGGATCTTATCGATATGGGGGCCATGGGCCGAGCGAGTCTATGGATCCGTAACAGTTGAGTGCATTAGCGTGATGTAGGTATCTAGACCTATGTGAAGGTCGTCCGAAGATGATCTTGGGTTGGTTCTCGGGGATGGAGTGATGCGATGGACACGAGGTTGTATAGCACGATTGGTAGATCGATGTAATATACGGGGAGTTGAGAATCAAGTACTAATCCTTAGATTTCGAAGTTGAACACAATGAACCGTAAGGGCTCATTGCCTACTGTTATATAATAAGCGTGCCCTCCATTGTGGCCTTTCCCTCCATGGAGGTCGCACCCTCCGTGGAGGTAATGCCCTCCATGGCGGTCATGCCAAGGTTGGAGGGCAGGTCACGTGACTGCGCGGCACAAGCTTACCCGCTGTGCCCCGCCTTCAACGTTGTCCTGCCGTTGTTGCTTGTCCTTCTCCTTGCAATCGTAACACCTATAATCATCTGGCCAGCTGCCACGCACCGGAGCAACTAGACTACCTTCCCCACCCCTAGGTGGCAGTACGCATGCTCTGACAGTGGGTACACGGATTTATACATTAGCCTGTAATGGCTTTAGCGTATATTTAACCCTAAGACTAAGGAGCGAGCTAGAGGTAAGCCGCAGGTGCTAATCTGCGATGGTTTTGGGACGTATGAGACGCTAGAAGTGCTAGAGTTTTGCTTCGCAAACAACATCGTCCTTTGCCGTCTCCCCTCTTACACTTCCTACAAGCTGTAGCCCTGCGACGTCGCAGTATTTGCTCCTTTAAAGGTGGCCTATCGCGAGCAAGCCGAGCGTCTAGAGCGGGGAGGCGTTAATACAATTGGCAAAGAACACTTTACCTCCCTGTATAGCCCTGCAAGAGAGAAGGCCTTCACAGCTAAGAACATTATAGCTAGTTTTGCTGTAAGTGATCTGTTTCTGTTTAATCTAGATAGGGTGCTTAGAAGTATGCTAAAGCTAGACTCCGCAACAATCAATTCAATCCGGTCACTCTCCTAGACCCACTTACCTATCTAGGTAGGGCTTAAACTCCTATAGGTAACTACTAGGCTTAAAGCGGTAATCAATCAATCCAATC